AGAGGTTTGCAAGTATCTCAACCTTTTGCTCTGCGGCTCAGCATTTCGGGGACATGAGGGGCTTCTGAACACTTCGGGGGGCCTCTCTCAAGGATGTTTAAAGCAGATTGCGTAGGGTCTATGTTGGGGTCCCTGTGCTCCAGAACCCTGACATCTCCACATCTCCATGTGCGTTCCCGCTGAAGCGGATCCCTTGAGAAAATGTCATGCTGTCCTATGTTACACTCGCCCTTCGAACCGCAACTGCATGCCTGCATACTTTGCTGCGTGTTTGGGTTTTGCGCCGTGGTCTGAGACACCCCGAGGGAAGCCCTCGGATGCGGACCATCCTGTCACTCGAAATCTGTGTTTCGGCTATTGAGTTTAGGATGAACATTAGCTCCTTGGAATTTTAGGTTTAAGGTTTCGTTCGAACACCGAAGGACCCGTGCAGGATGTTTCTGACGTCAACGCGCCCCATCAGCCAAAAAGGCGACACAAACGAGCAGCAGCTCAAATTCGCAAGGCTCCAGCTCCTAAACCGCCCTGCACCCAAGTCACTAAGTCCTGAATCACAAACTCCAGACACTCTCTGACCGGAACGGGCCCCAAAGACTCCCAGTCGAACGAAAGGCTCACATCAGAACCCAAACAAAAAATCTCCAATATCCCATGAACCACCCCGAAGTAGACATCGAGATCTCGTCAGGCCATCGAAAGACTGTCCAAGGAGCCACGAAGAGCGGCGAAATGAAGAGAACCTCTGCAGCCCCCCAGATCAAAGCCACCTGGGGGCTGTTCGAAAGTCTTATCCCCATTGGGATCGGGGGGCCGCCTCGGCGGTTTTCACGCTTCATCCTTCGAGGGACAATGAATAAGCAAACGGCTGCTAAACTCCGAGAAAGTTTCACGGAAATAACATCGAAAACCATCAAACCCTAGAGCCCCAAATGCCCAGCCTCTAGCCTTGAAACCCTGCACCCTGAAGCCGAAAAAACCTAAACCTCCAACTCTTGACATGAACCAAGTTTTGGAGTACCAAGACTTGTTTGGGCCTTCAAGACACCCCTCTCACATGGGATCCATCCCAAGATCCAGCAGTGCTTTAGGGCTTCAGGTTTGGGCTTGAAATTTGGGCGTGTACGAGGTTTCGGAGTAAGGTTAGGGTTGAGGGTTGGATCTCAGATTAGGTTTAGGATGTCGGCCTGGCCAAGAGGAGCAGGACTCGACGCTGCAATGCCCCAGAATAACGTTAAGGTCCAGGACGATGGAAGCCTTCCCTACGCTCCCTTAAGACTGGTAACCAGAAGCCCCCAAAACCAGAACTAGGCTCGTCCTACTGCCCGACTGTTTCTTACCGACGACGCAAGACCCTGCAATCCTAAGCCATCGAGCACCAACATCCCCAAACTCAAACCAAAGAGGCCCTCAGAAATGCAACCTACAACCCCGAAGCCTTAAAAGCCGCGAAGCCCTAGCAAAAACCAAAACCCTGAAACCATTAATCCTTAATCCTAATCCCCCAACCTAGGACCCTACTGGCTAAACTTTCTCTCTGGGCTTCAGGGCTCAAGGGTTTTCGGGTGAGGGCTTAGGGTTTTAGATTGAGTCTAGGATTGGCCTTGCTGGGGAGGTAGTTCCAAGGGAACGGCCTCCACACCTGATTCCATCGCAAAACCACACAGGCCATGGAGGTGGGTAAAAGTCACGGGCCGTAATGCATGTAGAAGGGCAGCTGTTCTTCTAGGTGCCAACTCCAGTTCTGGTGTATGGTGTTATTCAACACAGATCCTACAGAAATCACCCTCTGAAGGATCCAGCATTAGGTTCAGCAAGGGCAAATCATGTCGGGCAAAGCTTCATCAGCTGCACTGGGACGGCGCTTGAACTCAAGGCTCCAATGTACAATCGCATACGTGTGTGTGTGTGTGTGTGCGTGTTTACATATATAGATATATATATATATATATATATACACATACAAATACACATGTGCATATAGACATTTGCATACACATACACATCTGTCGTTTTATATGCAAAGACATAGTTGTGCATTTTGTCTATATGGCCAGAGAAGAACGAAAGACATCTGGTAAGATTCCTTGTTCGCCCTGGACTCCATGCTCGTATGTGCGGGCTTACTCGGGAGAACCTTTGCTAAGCCCGAGCTGTTCAAGCCTAGGACCTTTGCCAACTTCATGAGAAACCCACAACTTTCAAAACCTGAACCCCTGCTGTCCGAACCCTAAATACTAAACCCCAAGGACTACTCACCGCAAGCTCCAGAGGCAACGACGCCTTGAAGCTGTTCAACAGAGACTGAAAACTCTGAAAACTAAACACATCGAAGTCCTTTAACCCCGAAGCCGCAACCTGGACCACAAAACTTGGAACACCCACATTCTTGACTCCCTGACTCAGATACCCTTTACACAAACGGAGACAAAGACAACTCCAAACAGTCAAGGCTGCCAAGCTGAAGCCTGAAACTTTACATCAAAAACCACGCGACTCCACACCTCACAACTCCCGCGCCTCAGCTTTCTTCTGTCGGACCTGCAGCCGATCTAGGCTTAAGTGTCTAGGGTTTCTGGCCTAAGGCTTCGGGAGTGGGGCTGGAGTTTGGGAGTTAGGGTTTGGGAGAGCGCGTCCAAGATTGCTCGAGCATCGCTAAAGTAGTGCTAGCAAATTGGCTATTTGTTCATCTACTGGTTCAACAGACTATTGTATTGCTTGATCACGTCTCCGAATGGTGGTGGCTGTCGGCGCTGAACTCTGTCTGAGGGTTGGAACCCGTCTACTCAACAGTAACTTACAAGTGATCTGGGCAACATGTACTTCTGCACAAGGAGAATGTCGGGTAGGCAATGCTGGTCAGTAGGTTATGCAGGGATTTGGTCTCGGGCCAACATTCAGGGTCTGACACCTGCAACTTACTGTAGGGCGCAAGTGTACTCTAGACCTTCACCCTCAACCCCAACCCAAGTAAACCTCCGGACCGAACCCTTCGGCCCCTCAACCTAAACCCTAAACTATTAAATAGCGTCCTGAAGCAACCTCGAAAAATCAGGAGCAGTTGGAAGTCCCGGAAAGCCGTAATAGGGAGGGAATTCGAAGTCTACTAAACCCCAAGTGCTGCATGCTTGGGGATCCCTGTCAGGTCTTCAGGCTGTAAGGCTTGGTACGACATTGTTCTTGGTAAAGAGAAACTGGATCTACCCGGCCTCAAGATTCCTCAACTTTAGGTTCAACGAATGGTGGGTTCGGGGCAAAGAGCCCGAAGTGCAGAAACCCGACCCAGCCCACAGGATCTGTTTCAGTGCCGTTTGGGGGTGCCGTGCGCGCGTCTCTGTGCACAGTTCACCACCCTTCTTCCAACGGTTGTGGTCCCAGGAATTTGGATGTTTGCTCGTGACCTCGAACCAAGACTGCAGGGCTTAAGGGTCCCGGTCTAGTCAAACCTCCACTCTGCTTTTATGGCTTATGGTTTCGGGCGCCGGGGTCAATGAGCTTCCGGACAGACAGGCGCTACAAAAGCACGCGCAGAGGCAGCAGAACACCAAATCAAGCTACCTCTAGCGTTCAACGATCTGTCCCACACAGCAGGCCAGCCGCTCAAGTGTATCGCTCTTAGACGTTAAACTCATAGCAATCGAGAAAAAATGCATCAGCGAACAAACCTGACTATTTTTGTTGCCCTTCAACCCCGAGCCAGGAAGCCGTCTCAACTTCGGCGGCAACACTTGCAGAAGCCGCCCCGGCTTTTCACAGCCAGGAAACCTAAACCCGAAAGAAGCCAGAAGACTCTAAACAACCCGCTAAACGAGAATTCCTCCGGCCTTGCTGCAACCTTTGGACGGCTCGCTCCAAAACTGCCCCATGCTGCGCAGAAAGGGCGTGCGGACCCAGAGACTGCGATGTCCCCCGATTAAAGGTCCATTGTCAGGATCCGTCCGAATATCTTGAGTAGCGTTTTCGGAGTCGCTGAGTATGAGAGGTGAGAGCGCACCTCCCAACGACGATCCAGGGTGGGTTTGATAGAAGCCCTTGGACTAGCGGTTTCTTCTATTTTATATATGCAGACGTGTGACGAGTGTTCCAGCTCCTGCATTGCTTCAAAGGGTTTGCGGCCTAAGGCTTGGACTCTGAACGGAGTCCGGTAGAGAGTTTGCGATGTGGGTGTTCATGGCTTTCCTACATTAACTTAACCCTGAAAGGTTCCGAATTCTCGCAGCAAGTTACGAAGCCATGTGCCGACAAAAGGGGGGGATCCCTAAAGCCTAAAGCGTCACACCTGCAGGGCACCTTGCGAGCCAAGCGCGGGAAAAGCGCGACCAAAGCTCTCTCGCGTCTATTGGTGTCAGGTCGCAGGGCGATGGGATTCAGAGGGGCGGTAATTTGTGGATGTTGTCATGCGTGGTATGACTTTGCAGCACTCTGAAGCCTAAACCCTCAACGCTGAATCAAACAGTCCAAACCCCTAACCCTGAATCATAAACCAAAAGCCTAAGCCCTAAACCCTGAAAGAACTATCCCAAAACCTTGAAGCCCAAACCCTAACCCTGTCGGATTTCACATTGCCTTTGAGTTTTGAATCGTAAAACCAGTCTCGCAGTTTCAGTTCTGCCTAGAGTGTTAAGGAAGGCGAACAGGCCCGAAGTGGACACGTATGGGTCGGGGTTAAGAGTTTTGCAAACGAGAGTTCAGACAGGAAGGTGGGATATGCCGGACTCTTGAGGAGGTGCAGTGCTAGTTGGTTGGGACTGCATTACAAGTCCTGTTTGCAGTCGGCGGTGCTGCCTGCAAGGCTTTGGTGATTTTCGTTCTGTGCGGGTGGGGTTCCTGAGAGGCATCTCTGACAGGGTAAATGCTGCGAAAGGCTTCGTGGTTGTACTCGCTTTTCCCAAAAGTGCTAGAGTTGACTCTCTGACTTGAGGGCTTAGGCTGTTTAGGAGTTTAGGGTTCCTGGGTTCGGCTGAACTAGTGGGTCCTTCTTCTGGAGCTTCCAAGGGCCGGGCTTTGCGACGAAGGTCTCATTGAAGTGCTTTGTCCTCGAGTGGCGGCAGCAAAAACAGGAGCCCGACGTGGATTGTTCAGCGCGTTCATGGAAACATACTTCGTAGTTGTTTTTTACAGATACAGGAAACCGTTCTTGGTTGGGCTTTGGGTCGATCTTGCGCTTTGTCGAAGGAATCCCAGCTGGCTGCGCCGCCGCAGCTCAGACAGGGGCACTAGTTGTGGCATTGTGTGGGCCACACAGATCCCAGCTGAGGGTTTAGGACGTTGGTTCAGGGTACGGTGACCATTCTTGGGTCAAGTTCCAAATTTGTCAACCCGTGAATTCTCACAGACAAGGCACCCTGAACCGTCCAAGCTCCTTCTCCCGGATGGCGCTTCGACCCACATACCCTTGAACCTTCCTCCACAGAAACTGATTTGGGGGACTCAGGTCTGCAGCAGGCAGAAATGAGGATATCAAGGATCCCAACTGAATTTCTACAGCCTCAGGTTCGCTAGCATGCACATCACGAACCCACCACACCTCCGAACCCCTGGCACGAAGCCCTAAGCGATTGGGCGGATCCGAAACCTCTTTACACCCGAAACCCCAAACTCGTAAAATGCTGTGCAACCCGACACAGCCTGTGCTCGAAGGAGGAAATATTAGAAGAGCTACGGTCGGCAATGCGACGACAGTCTCGACAAATCTGCGCAAGGCTCGTCATCCAAAGCCCAAACCCTCAACACGAGCGATGTTGGAGGCTCGATAGAGTCCCTACTAAACCATAGTCGCCTCAGCTCTGACCGAAGACTTCAGACTTTCCACAAGGGAACCGTTGTTTCCCCACCTCTTCTCAGGCAGGCCGCCCCCCCACCCGCTTCCCTCGTCTCTTCATTACAACGAGGCAGGACGGGCTAGCTTACATCATTCGTGAAGCTGATGCCAAAGCCTGGGAATTCTGGAGCTGTGTCTTGTACTTCGCTCCAAGGCTTGATTCCCCTTCCAACATACGGGAGGTTGCATACGAGACCAGTGAGAAGCGTGTAACGTCTATGGGATAATGCAGGGAATACGCCACGTTTCGCGTGGGATTATTGCTGAGCCTCAGCATGAAAACAAACACTGACATTTAAAAACATTCTGAAATGCGCTGATTCACTCAAGACCTCACCTGTGTGACCTACCCGTTGCTCTCCGACGCAAGGCACCTGCTTCAAGCACAGCCGGGCCGGGGCGGACGACGCTAAGCGTTTATGACCCAGTACGAAAGAACCCTATTGAGCCGAAGCCGGAACTCGAGGCTCTGAACCCTCAACCTAACCGACCCAACTGGTCCGGGGGGCCCCGCCGGAAGCCCTCGAAGCGGAAGCATGAAGGAAGTAGGGGCCGATAGTCCTAGGATAAAAATCTGCAACAGGACTTGGGGTTCAGGGTCTGGGGTTTAGGAGTTCAGGACTGGGGGCTTTAGCTCTGCAGGGTTTCGGGCTTCTGGGGCTTGGGGCTTGCAGGTGTTGGACTCAGGACGCTAGGATCGCTACTGTAGTGAGGCACGGCCTGGGGGGTTAGAATTCAGGATGTCAGAGGTCGTTCTGAAACCAAGCAAGCACCTTGCGCCTCAGGAAGGTTTCGTAATTATAGTACCGTATGCCCTAGAACCTGACGCCCAAATCCTGAGACGGTTCGGGGCTTCGGTGGGTCTTCAAGGCGGCCTTTGCACAGGCTTGTCTTCGGGACTATGAGTTCGCTTCTGGTGCTAGCCTCCAGGACCGTCTACAGGCACTGCTATGAAATCGAGAGATTCAACCATCAAGCCGTGAAGCTTCAGGGCATCCTTCCATTGATTTCCATGGCTTGGGAAGGTTTGGGATTGAGGGTTCAGGGTTTCGGTGCTTTGCAGTATGCTGATTGCTGGCTTTCGTACTTAGTTCTGCCAGGCCTTCAGAGCGTTCAGAAGTGGCTGGGATTCTGGGACCCGAAACATGCGTCACAAAGTCCTAAAGCCTCCACCCTGAAATCGTCCTGTGAGCACATCCATCCATCCGGCTGGCCTCGAGAAGCGCTAACTTATCAGGGTTTCTCTCAAAGCTTCATGCACTTTCGGGCTCAAGCTGAATCAAGAATTCTGAGCTTGGTCCTCTAACCTATGCGCAACTGTCCTAGCTGATCGACTTTAGGCTGGAGTTTTGTGTTTGCTGTTCTGTCAGTAGTCAGTATGATTCAGTAAGTGTTTGGAGTCCACAAAACGAGCAAACTTGTCGCCCCCTCAGCAGCCTCCATCGAAGCCAAACCTGGAAGCCCTCAACCCAGTACGTTCAGACTTGGCTACAAGGTTGCCATCAACTTGCTTTCCTAGTCAAGTGCCCACTCGACCCCAAATCACCCCACCCACTAACCCTACTCGCGGAGCAACCAACCTACAGCCAGGCCACTGGAGGCTGAGCAAACAAAAGAAATCCCACACCCCCGAAGCCAAGACTGCGAATCTCAGACTCTAGTTTCCGAGCGCTCAACCCCAGTTCCGGGGCCACTACTGGTGCTGATGCTGCTACGCCTGTCGACAGGGCTGGGACAAACACAAGGGTTCGGAGTTTGGGGCACTCCAGCGATACAAAGCTTCCCACTGCGGTCTAGAGTCTACCTCTTTACTCTCACGGCTGAAGGCTTGTGGGTAAACCCTGAACCCTAACACATCTGAAACCCTACATAGCTTAAACCCAAAAGCTTATAGGGTTTACAGCAGTCTAAACCTGTAAAGCTCGTTGAGTAATACAAACAGGTGACACCAAAGCTTGGGGGGTGAATGATACTACGGTGGCATCGGGAGTAAAAAGTGTTTCGAAATATTCATTCAAGCCCCTGAGCTAAGAATATGCTAAGCTTGGGCATGGGGTGTGTTGTAGGACGGACAAAGTGCTGCCACCGCAAGTTGGGAGCCACTGCCTGGGAATCGAACCCCTTCAAGCTAAAACTGGCCCGTTTTGACCCGTAGCCCTTTCATTTGAGGCATGTACAGAGGCTTCGAACTCCCAATGAGTACTGACGAGGCGCACTGCTCAGACCCCCAGTGAGGAGTAACCCAAGCATCCCACCAAGAACCAAGATATGACGAACGACGTGACAAGGGAAACGAGCAACATGATTTGTAAATCTGCGACGAAAGCCTGAAAACGAATCGGGGTTCTGTTTGGGGAGTCGATTCAAGGGGAGAAAGACCTAGTATGGAGAACTGCACAAGAGAGTTCTTCCGTAGTTTTACATAGTGGGCATCTGGGATGTGTCACATGCTCCTCAATAAGTATGGAAGCTTGGCGCAGGACCGAGGCTTTCGAGCAACGAACTTAGGGCTTCGGCTTCCTTCCAGGCTCGGTGCGCAAGGCGAAGCATTGACGTGTCTGTGAGTTCTGAGCGCAGCGTTGTTCAACAATAGTAATAACAGGGGGAATTCCTACTGATTGCAAAATAGCAGTAACTTTAGTAAGTGTAAGACTTGTAAGAATAGTAGCCACTGAGAATAGTACTGATTTTAATGATAGTAATGACAACAGTAACAACAGGAATATCCAAAATACTAGTAAGAAGAAGTATTGAAGTATTGTTCTTATAGGAAGCTGAGGGCTTAGGCCTCGCCATGGCTCCAGTCGAGCGCTGCCCCCAGGCCCAGGCCTGAAAGTGGGTCTCTGGGGATTCAGACGTTTGGCGAGCTCGAGGCTTACTAAGCACTCGGCGTCTGCGGGTGTCGGGTCTGTGGGATCTCGGGACTGCGCCCTTTGCGAAATCACTAGTCGTGTCGGTCTGCTGGCGGGCGTCAGCAGCAGGATTACTACCCTACTAAGTCATCGTTGTTCTGGCGGTAGCAGAGGAGCAGAGGAAGGGACCACAAAAAACATGCCCACTGCTGCTAGCGGCACTCAGACAAAAAGCCCGAAGATATTCATTTCTCCCAAATGAGTCTGGTTTTGGGTTACACAGCCCAGATTGGACTAAGACCCATCTGAGCGGTGTGTCAATACGAAACAAAAGCCGACACACCAAGCCAACGAGGGATGTACGGAATCCCGGGCACAGCAGATTCAGAGTTGGGAACTCCGCATCACCTGGGCAGCTCATTCCTGGATTCACGCGACAAGATAGCTGTGCATTGGATTAGAGCACTGTTTATTAACTTCAGAAGGGTTTGCTGCTGAAACCCCGTTTGACAGGCCGTGGAGCAATCGATATCTTGACAAACATTGCACTACCTGACTGCTACACCAGGAGGTCTCAGTGCCAGTTGTAACTCTAGACAAACCTTCCAACCGCCACATCCTCAAGGCTCTCCCGCACAGTGCTTTGGTACCCTATTCGCAACGCGCTGCAGGCATCAACACCCTCTACACGACGGGGCTGCTCCAATTTGCTGTGTAGCTTAGGTTACTTACTATCATGAGATACTCTTGAAATAGTACATCTTAGGCTGCCTGTTGTCATGAGCTACTATCGACGTAGTCGCCTTGCGACGAAACCTAATCTGGAACACCCCCGTCTCAAGACAGATTCGAGGATAGCACAGGGCTTGACAGGATTGAAGGGTTCAGCCTCCTAGATCTAAAGCACTGGCATTGACAAGGAGTGCATTTTTGGACTCTCCTATGCTCCACGATCCAGAAACTTTTGAGCTCCCTGGACTTTATGCCTAAGCCTGCTGCTAAACGCGAATCCTCGGACACAGACAGACATGGCAGAGGCCATGCCCGCCGGATTTGGTAGGAACCGGTGCTGCCGTCATCAGGAAGACAGCAACGTCTGCAGATTTAGGCTCTCGCCTGTTCTAAACCTCCAGTTCCAAATACCATCTGAGTTATCCGGATCCAGTCGGAGACTGTTGTTGCCAGAGTAAACTCAATAATAAATGATAGCGCCGCTCCTGTTCACTACGAGCACGACTGCTCTTCTTTTCGTTGGCATCGTGCTTGTTTCGCTTTGCTATTTGCATGCTACCTTAATTGTTGCCAAGGCCGCTCTCATCTCTTTCTCCTATCTGCTTTGAACGTCGGTACATCTTGCCAGGACTCTGCTGCTGCTGATGTTCCTGCTGCTGCTCCCACTTCTATGGCTGCTTCTCGCGCCACATGCAGTTAAAACAGCGACAGATAGCACAGCACAACTAGATACAGTGATACGAACCGTGGCGATAGCTTCTCTTTCTGCCACACAACATGACGTCTACTACTCCTCCTCCTCCTCCTCTTCCTCCTCCTCCTGCTACTGCTACTGCTACTGCTGCTACTACTACTACTACTACTACTACTACTGCTACTGCTACTGCTACTGCTACTGCTACTGCTACTACCACTACCACCACTACTACTAGTACTACGACTACGACGACGACGACGACGACTACTACTACTACTCCTGCTACTCCTGCTGCTACTGCTGCTACTGCTGCTACTGCTGCTACGCAATCCTAGTGCTACTGCTACTCTTATTCCTACTGCTATTGCTACTGCCACTGCTGCTACTACCACGACGACGACCACTACTACTAATACTGCTGCTGCTCCTGCTTCTAGCTCCTGACTCCTGGCTCCTGGGCTCCTGGCTCTTGGTCATGGTCCAAGTCATGTTCCTGGTCCTGCTCCTGCTGCTTCTGCTCCTGCTCCCCCTTCTGATGGTGCCCCTGCTGCTGCATCTAACCCAGCCCTTGCCCCTGTCCCTACCCCTATCCCTCCGTACCCCAACTACTACCCCTACTGCGCCCTTCCGTACCCCTGCCCCTACTCCTAGTCCTACTCCTCCTATGCCTACTTCCACTCCCACTCTTTCTCTTACTATCTACTCTACCCACTGCGTGCTAGTGCTGTGCTGCTACTACGATGACGTTGGCGACCACGACCGTGACGACGACGACGAGCACGATGCCGGCTACAAGGACGAGGACGAGAAACAATAAGTTCAGAACGACGAGGTCGACGACGGCGACGGCTGCGCTAACTATACCTAGGTATGTATAGACGAGGACAACTACAAGGGCGAATATTATTACCATTGTTAATCATCTACGAACCAACTTGATTCTTCTTGTTGTGGTTGGCGCCGTGTCGCGTGTCGGGCTCAGGATTACAGCCGAATGCCTGTCTGCAGCGAGCATTATCGTCAGGAAAACACCTGAAAGGCTTCACAGGCAGTTTGGGCATAAAGTTGCAAGTAGCATGGCTTTTCACTGACTTAGCAACATGAACAGTAGGTGTTTTGTCGAACTGCCCAGGAACTTCCAGGCTACGAGGGAATTTGGGAGTCCTGCTCCTCGCGGGACAGCATTTATACCATCGAACCTCTGAAAAACAAGGCACAAGCTCTTTGCCGAGCCCTTAGATCCATGTCCATGCAGACAGACAGACAGACAGACAGACAGACAGACAGACAGACAGACAGACACAAAGACAGAGAGAAAGGGCAAGATATTTTTATACTCACAGCTACTTGCAATATCTGTCTATCGATCTAACTGTCTATCTGTCTTGCTATCTACATATATATATGTACATTTCAGCAAGCAAACACACAAACAGACAGACAGACCGACAGACAGACCGACAGACAGAGACGGACTGGCTGGCTGACGGACCAACCTACAGAGGTCGTATGCATACGAACACTGAGTGACATGCATGCACGTATGTATGCATGCATGTATGTATATATGTATGTATGCAGGCAGTTACATGTACGTGTGTGTGAAAACATGTATGCACATGTATATGATGAGAACGATGCATATGCGTATGTATATGTATGTGTACACGTATACGGATTTGTGTATGCATATATCTATGTGCGCACGTATGCGTATAGGTATGCACACGTATGTATATGTTTGTAAATGTATGTACAAACATTAACATGTACACGTTTCAAATATATGTAAACGTGTAAATGTATGTGTATATGTATATGTGTATATGAACGTATATGTATGTGTACATATATATATATATATGTATATATGTACATGTGTATATGTATGTATGTACATATGTATGTGTATCTACAAGAAATACACACACACATATGCAGGTAGGTATGTACGTACCTATACACGTGTGTGTGTGTGTGTGCTTGTGTTTGTGTTTATCTGTGAAGGTGGCCGTGTGTATGTGTGCGCAAATGTGTGCTTGTGTGTATAGATGGGTGAATGGATAAATAGATGGATATATGTGAGTGCGTATGTGTGTGCATGTTTGTATGTGCTTCTACATGTGTAGATGTCTCTCTATCTATATATGCATATGTGTATATACATATATGTACGTATACACGTATATAAATATACACACATAGATATGTACATATGTCTGGCTGACTGTCTGCGCGTGCGTTTGCATGTTTGTCCGTCTGCCTGTCTGTCTGCCTGCCTGCTTGCCTGCCTGGCTGTCTGTCGATCGGTCGGTTTGCCTGTGCGTGCCTGTGTTCATTTCTGTCTGAATGTCTGTGTTTTGAATGTATGTATGTATGTATGTATGTATGTATGTATGTATCTATGCGGGTATCAGCGGGGGGTGATGTATGTATCGGTGTATGTACGTATGTATGCATGTACTTATGCACGGACAGCTGGCCAGCCAAATGGCCGGCTGGCCGGCGAGATGGACGGGTGGATGGGCATGCTTGACTGTCACCATAACACACATGCATGCATACGTTCACTTCACTTCCGCGTTGCAAAGTCTCTGCGCTCTGCGAACGATGATGGGACAAGGCACGTTGTGCCCCGGCAATGCTGTGACCTGTAGTCACATCCCCAAGAAAACTCTTCAAGCCTCCGGTGCGAACACCCTCAGA